AAGTCTGCATTAGGACAAGGAAGAGTCTGTGCCAGCAGGCTGAGGAATCTTCACTGGAGATAGAAAGTGATGCTTAAAGTAAGAGCCAGAGCTATCCCAAAGAGAACCGCAGCCATCCTCAGCAACATTGATGATCCAAGCCCTCCAAAGATGAAACAGCCAAGTTCACATCAGAAAAGCCAGCATGACAAGCTTCTGCAGGAGAATCTACCGCACTCCATCCTCCCTTCCAGCTTTCTCTTTATGCTCTTGGCAACAGTCCTCAGCTGGGCCTTCCATACCAGCCCCACACACATTCAGTTCACCTAAGTGTGACCAGTTGACCACTAGTTAATCCACCACAAACCCCACAGGAGGAGCTCTCTAGACCCTTTAGAACTCACATGTCACCAAGGCTTGCTCTAGGTTCTGGATGTGGAACTATGAGACTTAATGTGCGTGGTTTTTTTTTTTTTTTGCGGAACCGGGGATTGAACTCACAACCTTGCACTTCCAGCCAAGTGCTTATTCTACTGAGCCATCTCCCCGGCCTGAGACTTAATGTTTACCCTACAAACTTTCAGTCTTGGCTTTGGTCTGATTCCTTTCTATTCTCCCATTCCCTTCTTTTAAAATGAAGATGTTAACGCTGCCATTGTACATTGGAAATTTTAACTTTATTTTTACAGGGGCTTACACCTAAGAGTTTTCATTGAGACGCACAGGAAACTAGACTTGATAGTAATGCTGACTTTGACAACTCTTAGAGATAGACTAAATGCAGTTTTGCATAAGATGGGCATGAGCGTTTTGTGGAACAAGGCCCAGAAAGCTATGGTTTTGATCTATAATGTCCCCCAAAAGTCTCACCAATCAGTTATAAGGCTTTTGACAGGTGACTGGGTCATAGGGGCACTATGTCCATCAGTGGATTAATCTATTGATGAGCTCATGACTGAATTTGCTGTTAGGAGGAAAGCCTGGCTGGAGGTAAGTCACCAGGGGCAAGACGTGGAAGGGTGCGTTATTGTCCCCAGCTCTTTCCTTTGGTCTTTACTTTTGGTAACCCTGGGTTGAGCCCCTTCCCTCGGTCATACCTTTCCACCATTCTGCCTCTGCCCTGGAGCCAGCCAACTGTGAACCAAACCCACCAGAAATTGTGAAATAAATCTTTTTTTTTTCCTTCAAGATCTATCTGTGTGACAGGTGTTTTGTCTCAGTGATAGGAGAGTGGATAATATACCCATACACAAGGCCCACAAATGTAAAAGAAGAGGCTTAATAGCCATTTAAAACACAAACTTAGGGGCCAGGGAGATGGCTCAGTAGGATAAGTGCTTGACTGGCAAACGCAGGGATCTGAGTTCAATCCCCAGTTCTGCCAAAAAAAATAAATAAATAAAACACAAACTTGGCTGGGCATGGTGGGGTACACATGCGATCCCAGGACTTGGGAAGCTGGTATGAGGAATGTTGTAAGAAGTCAGCCTGGGCTACATAATGAGTTCAAGACCAGCCTGAAGTGCATAGCAAGACCATGTCGCAAAAAACAAAACAAGCAAGCAAAGCAAGATCCAAAAACAGCCCTTTTGGATCGGGGAGATAGTTCAGTAGAATAAGTGCTTGCCTGGCAAGCGCAAGAACCTGAGTTCAATCCCTGGTTCTGAAAAAAAGAGCCCATCATGATGATGATGAAGATGAAGATAAAACACCTGCTTGAAGAACTGGAGGGTAGAATGTTGCTATGTCTATTGGTTGCTAGTGAGTATGAATTTCCCATTGTTTCTTCACAAATAGAACCTGTTTTGTTCAGCACAGTGCTTTATGCAATTAGAAAACTACATTTTTCAAGGTCTTGGAGCTAGAGCTGGTCCTCTTTTTTGGTCTTCTTGAGACAGGGTCTCGCTATGCAGTTCAGGCTGGCCTTGTGTTCACTTTGTAGCCCAAGCTCATCTCAAACTTGCAATGAACCTCCTGCCTCAGCCTCCCAAGTGCTAGAGTTACAGGTGTGCTTCACCAGGCCTGGCTAAAAAAGCTTTTTAACGTGTGGTTGACTGAGGGAATCTTCACTTGGTTTTCCCATTCTGCCTGCAATGCAGGTATGATTCTGTCAGTGGGGCATTCTTCTTGCAACCAGGAATCAAAATGATAATAACGACAATACAGCTAATGAAATATAAAGGGGAGCTTCAGAAGTCTAGAAACCTAGTTGCATTAGAGTATCCTAGATAACCAGCCTCTGGATGCCCTTGTTCTGAGGGGAGGGGCTATTGGGTCAGGCACTGTAATAAAGTTGCTGTTGCAGGAAGTTAATGCCAATCCTGATGGTAATATGTTAAATTGGTAAAAAGAATAATGTGTGCACAACCTTAAGGAACCGACTTTGGCCACCCTTCTCGTTTAGCCAAAGCAGTCAGCATTTCCGAAAGGGTTGAGTCCGTGTCTATACCACAGAAAAACTTGGGAGCCCTAAAACATTCTGTCATCAAAAACAGGTAGGCTGAAAGATGCAAGAGACAAGTGTAACCAACCTCAGGGGTTCTCTGTAACTCAGTGTGACTAGTCAGGCACTTAAAAATTATCTAGGGGCCGGGGAAATGGCTCAGTGAAATAAGCACTTCCCTGGCAAGCACAAGGGCCTGAGTTCAATCCTCAGTTCCACAAAAAAACAAAAACAAAAACAAAAACAAAAACCAACTAGTCATTATAATAGCAGTTATTTAAATTAGCAAGAGGCCCTGAGTTCATGTGCACTCAGGAGTTAACAATAAAGGCCACAATAAAGCAGTTGAAATAGAAAGGGAAACTGTTTAGTTCTCCACTTGCTAAAACAAGCAGAATATATTTTTATAAGTACTGTACATATATTGCAGAGATACAAATTATGTGTGTATATTACAGATATTGTGTTACAGCACATAAAAGGTGTTTACAGCTCCTAGCCAGTGTTTACAGCTCCTACAAAGTGTAGTGGCAGATCCAGACCAACACATTTATTTATGCCTGTTGAGCGTGGCTGGGACTGTTCACCAAAGAAACAAGCCCTTAACTCTCAGGAAGCAGAATCTGTATAGAATTTACCACCAAGAAGAGGTACAAGAGTAGTGTTCACCATTAGTTCACTAGAAAGAAAGTTACACTGAATTTCACCTTCTTTGCATATGGCAGGAACTAGGACAAGAGCTTACATCATTCAGGGGAAAAACAAAAACAGATCACAGGAGATCTGAAGGGGCCTTCTAAAGGCCTGGAGGAGGAAGGCACAAGGTTTTTTGTTTTTTTCTGCTTTATTTGGACTCCACACACTTAGAACATACAGGACAGACTGACAGCTCCTATAAGACTCCTGTCTTTGCATCTGATGCTGGAAAAGGGCAGGCAGTTGGGAAGGGAAGATGAATGAAAAGTGAGAACTATGACCAGCTGAAACCTGGGCTGAAGCTCGACCTAAGCTGCAGCATTTCATCCGGGAGCTAGAGGAGGCAGCTTCTTTGCTGCTCTCATTATCCAGAAAAGCCGGTGGACATCTACAAGGTGCAGCAGTTCCTGCTTGGACCTTCCATAGAGAAGGAAGGTCGCACACTGCATGTAATTTCCACATGTATCCTGCTGTCCTTATGGATCCAGAAGGTTAGAATTACTTGCTTAGAGCGCTACCTAACACACGGTTGGCACTCAAGAACACTGTGCTTTTAGAAATTAAGAGGGACAAGAGGTGGTAAAGCTATGCACACAACAGGTGTGGGGGGAGGGTGCTGGCTATTGAATCCATGGGAAGACCACACAAGTATTCCTTGTATTATTCTTTCAACTTTTATAAATGTATGAGTGTTTGCACAATATAAAGTTGTTAAGCTCAGTGGCAGAGTGCTTGCCTAGCATGCACAAGGCCCTGAGTTCAATTCCCAGTACCATAAAAAGTTAAAACAACAAAAAGCCTCATGTGGTGGCTTGCCCTGTAGCCCCCAGCTACACAGGAGGCTTAAGGTGGCAGGATCACGAGGCCTGGAGTTTGAAGCTAGACACAAGACCTAATCTCAAACAGTCGGGGTGGACAGGCCCTGTTACACTGATGTGAAGCAGAAAGACTAATGTAGCTATGTCACAAAGTAGGGATCCTTGCCCTTCACAGCTGGGAGGAGCATAGCCCTTAGATCTTACTGGCGCGTAATTTCAGAACTGTTCGGGGTTCCAGCCTCCTCTCGTCCTTCCGACAGATTCTCCAGCACCACTGGAGGCCGCCCCCCGACACACACACCAGTGGCCTCTAGGCGGTGGCCACCAAAGGAAGGGGAGAGCCACTCCCTAATGGATCTCACTGCGCACGGCCCTGACTGTTGAGGGCTGAGATGCACGCCTGTGTCAGTCGCCTCTGCAGCAGGAGTGACTCAGGGCTTCAACACACACAAGAAGCTGGTAATGCCCAGGGAACGGGACAAACAAGGACCAGGTTGGGGCCCGTGGCGGGCCCCACCAGGGCCCAGCTAAATAAGTCAATACGTTGGGACGAGGAGTGGGCACGGGCTCCTGTAACCGGAGCCACCACGGCAAAAGAGCAGAGGCGGGAACGAGCTCTGCAGGCTCGACCCAGGAGAAGTAGGAAGGCACTGACTGAGGTTCTCTCGGCCGGCGGGACAACAAGCATAAAACCTGGCGGCCGAACGTAGATCTGCCGGCGCCAGCGCGCCCGGAAGTGCGGCAGCGTCCACGCGGGCTGGCCTCCCCCTGGGGCGCGTCGTGGCCTCTCTAGACACTGAAGAAGCCTCAGCTCTCGGTGGCTCCGGCTCGCCGATCCGTAGTCCATCACGGAAGCAAGCTCTGGGCGAGTAGGCGGAGCCGGCGGCCGTTCTGACAGGCGTCGTGCATCAGGATTGGTAGTTCGAGCGACGGGGGCCGAGCCTGGGGGGCAGGGCTTCCGGCGATTGGTGGCGGCGCGGAGGGGGCGGGGCGACCCCTTTGTCTGAGAGCGCTGCGGGCGGCCTCCTGTCGGCTACCGAGGCTGCGGCGGACGGTGAGTCAGGGATGTGGGCTCCGGGCGAGATCCCCTCCCTTGCGGACACCAGACCCGCAGTCTTTACCGCATCGATGGTCCCAGCGATTCCGCTAGCCTCAGCGCCCCGCGGCGCAGTGCCTCCCGCTAGCCCTGATCGTATGGGGGGGGCGTGGGAATCCGCGGAGAGAATGGGGGCGGGGGCTCTTCCAAAATGCAGGAGGGAACCTTGGTTGTTTATGAGACAGGCTCTCATTACGTTACCCAGGCTGGCCTAGAACCCCTGTGCCCAGGCGATCTTCCCGCCTCAGCGTCTGAGTAGCCGGGGCTGCAGGCGCCTCCGGTTCTCTGCTAAAAACAGGTTTTTCTGGGCGGCCGCGCGCCGACCCCAGCGGCCCACTCGGGTGCTTCTGTCCTCAGCCGCGGAAACGCCTCCCACAGGGCGAGGACGCGCTGCCCGGCTCTGGTGACCAAATGTGCGTCTCCGGTTTTTCTTCGGACGTCGTCTCCCCTGTTACTTTGTAAGAGTCCTATTTTAATAAATGAGGCCAATGTTTTGTAACGCAGCAGATATACTTTATTTACTATTAGCTTTAAGTTTTGCCATAGAAAATGATGAGCAACCTAGTCAGTAATCGTGAAGGCCACTGTCCTGAAGTCTGGCCGCTATGCGCGAAGGTGGCCCCAGCGATTCCCCTTCAGGGATTCTGATGAGGCTCCGGCTGGCCGTGCAGTCGGCAGGTTTTCTATTTTGCGCCTGAACGTAAAGATCCAGAGTTTTTAACTGCGACAGGTCGTTTTGGATTTGTGTTCCGTGGGCTTTGCACGCAGTGAGGTGAGAGTGGCAGGCGAGGGCGTGGAGCCCCATTCCTCCCGCGCGGGGAACCAGCCCTGCCTTCTTCCCACCGGGACGCTTGAGTTTTCAGTCTATGTTCCTGGCAAGGTTCAAGTCTCCTCATTTGTGTTTTAGCTATTTGGACTTCATTTGTGATTTGCCAGTTGAAAAAGCACTTTTCTGTGTCTTTTGACTCTGATTTTTAAAATAATCTTTTGTTTTCTGTGGTACTTGCAAATTTTGGATCCATCTGGAATTTAGATGTGGGGCGAGCTTAGAACCCACTTTTTTGTCCCTTCAATTGTAATAATTTCTAACACCACCCACTGTAAAATATTGTGTCATTGCACCGATTTGCGAAACCATCTTGGTCAGATATTAAATTTTTCTGTCTTTCGGCCCATTTCTAGACTTTGTGGTAGCTTTGAGTGTCCATAAGTTTTTTTTTTTTAAATTTATTTTTTGCGCGCGCGTGTGTGTGTGTGTGTGTGTGTGTGTGTGTGTGTGTGTGTGGCCAGCTCAGCCCACCAGGGGGCGGGGCTGGCTGGCATGTGGTGCTGGGGGATTGAACCGCGGTCCATGTGTTTTTGCTAAACTTGTTCTAAGTAGGTGCTTTAGACCACTGAGCCATCTCACCAGCCCCGTGTCCATAAGGTTTTGATTTACAAGTGACATGTCTGCGTCTCTGCCCCAAGACTTACTGCTGCTGCTATTTTGCTTAGAGAGCCTTTTATGTGTTTATTGATTTATTTTGAGACAACACTTCACAGTGTAATTTAGGCTGGCCTGGAACTCAGAGCCATCCTCCTGCTTCAGCTTTCAGAGTGCTGGGATTACAGGCTTACACCGACACACCTGGTTTGGCCTGTATTTTTAAATTATTTTTATGATGTTTTTAAGTTCTTATTCACTCATTAGTCTAGTGGACTTATTAGATTTTCATTATATATAATGATCTGATTTTTTCTGCCCTTTTAATTTTTTAAACTGTCTTTGCTGTACTTGATGGTAATTTGTTGATCATGTAGTATTTAATTTTCCTTTTCCTAAAATATTTAACCCATCATCCTAATGCCATTTAGTAAATCATCTTTCTTCCAGTGATTTTTTTTTTTTTTTTTTTTTTTTCTGCCCTAGTACTGGGGATTGAACCTAGAGCCTTCCCACTGACCTGCCTCCGTTAATTTGAATAAACTCACCAAACTTGTTTCTGCTCTGTCCTGTTCCTGAGTTGCTCATTTGTGCTCACTGAAACCCATGTGGCTCTTGTTACCAGGGCCTGCTGGCAGATTAAGCTCCTCTTTCAGCTGGCTCCTTTGTTAGTGTTTCCAAGATGCCCCTGTGTTCTTTTAGATGACAGATGTGTTAAGGCTGAGTGGCGTGGACGGCTGAGCATCTCTGCAGTCTGTCCTGCCTTTACATTTACAGAGACCTGGTATGTGTGCCTTTCAGATTAGCCTTTGTTGTCCATCACCTTTTCTAGTTTTCTCTGTAGGAAACCTGCACATTTCTAAAATCTGTTTCTTGTTGATATTTGTGAAGAGAATCATTTTTCCATCCTATCTTTGACCAGCTGTCACTGGGATATAGGAAAGTAATCAGTCTGAACATGTATTTCTGGTTGTTTATTCTAGGAAGTTTGTGGATGTTATATGTGACATTGTTTTGCACTCTTCCATCCCAGAGAGTAAATAAAAGCCATAGCATGAAGATGAAGACAGATCAGTTGCAGCTGGGTGTGGTGGCGCAGGCCTATAATCCCAGCACTCAGGAGGCTGAGGCAGGAGTCAGCCTGGGCTACATTGGGCAAAACAACAACAAAAAAGAGATCAGTTGCAGGAAGCCCAGGAGTGAGGACTGGAAGGTGGTGGCTCTGCGGGAGATCCTGGAGCTTACCCCAAGTGGGGCTAGGAATGCGCCTGTCCTAGCACAGCTCCATGTGCAGACAAGACCTTGATGTCACTGGGTGTGGTGGTGCATATCTGTAATCTCAGCACTTGGGAGGGTGGAGGAGGAGGATCACCACAGGTTTGAGGCCAGTCTGAACTACATAACAAGTTCCTGTCTCAAAGGCTGGCCAGATAGCTCAGCAGATTAAAGCAGCTATTTAGGCAGATGCAGGAGCCAGCGTTCAATCTCTGGTGTGGTGCTGGCCCTGCCCTTGGGGGGCGGCCCTGCCCTCGGGGAGTGCTGAGATGACTGAGACTGGGCCTCGTGGTACATGCCTGTAAGGAAGCTGAAAGCAGGGGAATCACTGAGTGTGATCTGTGTTAGGAGACCCTCTAAGCCCTGTACTAAATACAAAAAAAAAAAACAAAGACCCTGTCTCAAAAGAAAAGAAAACCCTGATGTCACATCTAGATAATCAGAAATTTAAAAAAAAAAATTGGTTTCTAAGCTTCACTGACACAGTAGTAAAGATAATAATGACAAACCTGAAATTCTAGTCTGGGCGTGGTGGCACACAGCTGTAATCCCAGCACTAGGGAGGCACAAATTAGGAGGATCACCATGAGTCCAAGCTGTGTAGTGAGACCCTGCACCCAAAAAAAAAAAAAAAAAAATCTGAAATTCTAAGCTTTTCATGTCATAGTGGCCCCTTTTTAGTTCTTGTCCTTGCAGACCTGCCTGGCAATAACCATGCAAGCTTGACTCCCGGGGATACCAAGGTCTTGCCTGCAAACGGAGCTGTGTCAGGACAGGAGCTTTCCTAGCCCACTTTGGGGTAAGCTCCAGGATCTTCCCCAGAGCAAGACCTTCCCTTCCTCCCTCCTGGGCTTGCAACTGATCTCTTTCTTGTTGTTTTGCACTATATAGCAAGGCTGGCTAAAATATTTCTCTGCAGTGTGGCCTCTTTCCAGTTTTCTTCAAATAATCATAGTTTCTGAAAAGGATGAGCCATTCTTGGTTTTGTTCTGGGTTATTCTATAGGGACATTCCCCAAAACAAAATCACTTTCCTAATCAAACTGTTTGCAGTGCTACCTTTTGGACCAGTGGGTAGGTAAGGTCTTTGTTCAGCTGTGATGCCACATGAATGTATTTAGCACGATGGGGGATGCTGTTTGTATTTGCCCAAGGGTCAGGTCGTGACATAACCACCTGAGGGGGCTCCTCAGACTGTTTCCAGTATTCTGTGGCATGGCGTGTCCCAGACTTACACCTGGGCCCAGCATCTTTTCAGGACTTTTATGAACCAGGCTTTTAAGTTTAAAAAAAAAAATTTTTTTAAGGAAATACAATTTTCCTTTTTTGTCAGAACTGCAATGATTCTGTCACAGAGCAAAGTCTAAAGCTGGGCCTCAGAATGTGGGGGTGGGGTATAGGGAGCTGGTTAAAAACTAGTTTCCAGGGCCGGGGATATATAAGAGCCTGCCTGGCAAGCCAAAGCTCCTGAGTTCAATCCCTGGTATCAAAAAAAAAAAAAAAACAACAAACTGCCTTCCAGTGTACCACACAGGTATGCTTTCACCTTGTGAACATGTGAGCTTTAGGTAGAGGCCACAGCGTTTGCTTGTGCTGCTCTGTCACTGTCACAGCATGCTCTGGGAGACCACATCCAGGCCTCCCATTCTCACTTGATGGCGAGTCCTCCTTCCAGCCTCAGACTAGATCCCTGGGTCACCCTGGACTCAGTACACACGAAATGACCATTGCTGATGCCCCAGCTGCCAATACCTTGGTCAAGCTGTAAGGTTGAGAGCCCCTGCCTCAGTGCAGCACCAGGACTATCAGAGGATTCCTCGTGACTGAGGCCTGGGGCTGAGCCTCCCCTTGAAGGAGGCAGAATGGCCTCTGCCTGCAGCCCCATATAATCAACAAGTGCCTTGGGTACAGAACACACAGACCCCAGCAAGCCGCAAGCAGCTGTCTTTATACGTAGGAAAGAAGACAGGCCTGGGCCACGGTGAACTGGGAAGACACCCAGCCCCTGCTGCTTCCTCACACAGAAGTGCGATTAGCCAACCATGAGGCCCCAGGGGGCTGGGGACTAAAGACCATGACGAGAGATGCCTGCATTGAGAGGGCAGACCCAAGAGTTGTAGGTACAGGACCTGGCAGGCACCTGCACTAGGACCAGATTTGGGGGGTGAGGGGAAGGGACAGAGCATGCCTGTGTCAGACCAGATCCCAGGGTTGCTCTGCATGCAGTCCAAAGGCCCGTGACCCCGCCTATCAGGGGCAAGGCCTGCACCCTCACGTGTTCCCTCCTTTTGCTCAGCCCCACAGGATTCTCTGTTTCTGTAATCTTCAGAGGCCCCAGGAGACCAGGAGATGGCAGCGACCAAGCTCCTGCCACTGCCAGCAGGACACCAGGTGAGCTATTCCATAGGTCTGTGCAGTGTCCCTGACCAAAGACCCTGCTGTCCCTTCCACATCTGGGACTCCTGGGGGAGCATAGGTATTTCTCCATCCCCTGAGCTTTGTGGCTTCTTTCTTCTGATCCACCTGGCTCATGTCAGGGTATCCTTCCTTGCTGTTCATGTCACATGGACCTACACCCTGTCACACAACTGGAGATCTGATCTACCCAAAGCAGCCTCTGTCATTCCAGGCCAAGGTGACCTTCGAGGATGTGGCTGTGTTCCTGTCCCAGGAAGAGTGGGACCGCCTGGGTCCTGCTGAGCGGGGCCTGTACCGAAATGTGATGATGGAGACCTATGGAAACGTGGTGTCGCTGGGTAAGACCCCTCGACAGACCTCATCTGAGTTTATGTGTTGGACTAGAGTGGGAGTTAACCTGGGAAGGTGACTGGGACAGGAGCCTGCAGCCAGGGTTCCCTAGAGCAGTGCTGGCAAACCTTTTAGTTTTCATGAGAGCTATAGGTTCACTACCGCTGTCCTAGAAGTTTCTTCAGGGCAACAGAAGATCCGTCCTATCCAACCTCATGTCCTCAAGGTGGATAGGACTGGGGGTGTTTCCATAAATGTTATATTAACGAAAGGCTTCCTTCTTAACGAGCAGGACTCCCAGGATCCAAGCCTAACGTGATCTGCCAGCTGGAGCGAGGAGAAGACCCGTGGGTCCCCTATGAGCACGGGGCTCCAGAGAGCCGGGGCCTGGGGAGTGGCTGCCCAGGTAAGTGAAGGGAGCTGGCGCCTCTCTCTGTGAAGTCTGGGCCTAGTTCAGGCAGAGCCGTCCAGCCCTGCCTCCAATGTTTTTAACCTAGTGAATTGCACATACTTCAACAGCAGTGGAAGTATCTTTTGTGGAGGGAAGTGCTTTATTGTCACTTGAGCCCTCTGACCCTTTTATAGAAAGCCTCAAATGTGACAGCACTATAGCCTGTATGCAACAAGACGATTTATCTTGTCCATGGAGTGAGTATGCCTGGTCTTTGTAATTCAGTACAGTACCTAACTATGTTAATCCTGGTGTATCACCGGAAAAGAATGCGATTCCCAGGGTGCTGCGAAGCTTGTTTATACACTCACACCATCCCCACGAAACACCAGGGAGTATTTTTCCTAATTAAAAATTTATTTTGGTGGAATCCCCTTTTCTCCCCTATGTATTTTTTACACTTAGCACATGCTTCCCTACTCTGTAAGTAGAGCCATCATTCTGAAGGCAGGTGGCGGTTAGCTTGATGCAGGGCGTGGCCTGTCTCCATCCTTCGTGGCAGCTTGAATCTGATGGATTACAGGCATGCGCCACCATGCCCAGTCTCCATCACGGTCCCGAGGGCGGGGCTAGCATGGCAGACCCGTGGATCAAACCCCTGCCCCCTGCGCCTGCTTGCAGGCACTTTAATCCTCTGAGCTATTTGGCCAGCCCTCAAGAACAGAATATTAAAGGTAACATTTT